TAAATCCCGCGAGAGAAAGAATGAGTTTATCTACAACGATAACAGATCTGATCTGAGTCGGAGAACTCTAAAGTGCTTTACACTAAAGTCAATCATTCACCCATTCACACGCCGCTGGTGGTAAGCTACATCATAGCCACAGCTGCACAATGACAGGGGTGCGGCTACCGTACACAGAAGTTGCCAGTCCCTCCAACCACCTGCAGGCAGTGAGATGAAGTGACTTGCCCAAGGACACAACTTACACAGACAGAGCCTGGGTATGAACCGGCAACCCACCAGTTACAGAGCAAACTCCTAATCCCCGAGCCACCATCACCCCAAAACAGGAACAGTTCAAAAGCTGGCTTAAAGCACGGACTCAAGCACAACATCTGATGGTCCAAACACTTTTTACCGGGCATTTGCTTTTGCGATGGCTTGATGTAGACTGACACTGAAACTAATTCTTCAGCTGGGAATGGGGGTGGGTACCTAAGCCTGGTATCTCTTTAGTGTCACCTGAAAATATTTGGTAGGGACTTGCAATGAAAAAACATCTTTTTCAGAGCAAACTGTTGGTGCCTTCCAAATAAAACGTCCCTGTTAATGAGCCGCACTGGTCCGTACCTTCCACTGTTGCACATCACAAGACTGGGGGGGCGCGGCTCTCTCACTCACAAATACAAGTCTCAGAGTTTACAGACTGAGGCCCTGTCCACACGTAGCCGGGGATCTGCCAAAATGTAGATATTTTTCTACGTTTTGGCCTGTCATCCACACGAAAACGGAGTTTTTTCACACGAAAACGGATCTTTTTAAAAACTCCGGCCAAAGTGAAGATCTGCGTTTTCTCCGTTTTGGGTGTCTGCATGTGGACGGACAAAGCCGGAGTTTTAAGGTCCGCAACGTCACTTTCCGCGACAAAAACATGCTGACATCACGTGTGCGACCTGTGTTTACACTAGCCGGCATCATGGATGCCCTCAGAGCTGCGCTCTGTCACTACCCGATCCATTAATTGTCCAAGCGCTTTCTGCTTGTTTGTTTTTGCAAGCGGAATTACTGCTCCTTGCGGAAGACCACAGACGAAGGACGAGGTTAAGAACGGGGGAAGTACTGCCGCCTACAGGTCTGGCATGTCCTTAACAACGCATTTATCCGGGTACGTGTGGACAGAGTTTGTTTTTAAAACGCGGTGGTGTGGATGCAAGTTTTTGGAGGGGCGGATATTCGTTTTCAAAAAACCCCGGCTACGTGTGGACTAGGCCTAAGAACCCACAGATTCTGTCAATAGTGTTTCTGAACAGAGCTGATGGAGCCCATGTGGAGTACAAACCGCACCAAGAACAGTTGTGACATTCTGCTGGCAACTCTTTGGCACGGGGACTGAAACGCCCTAACAGAGGGCTAACGAGTGTCCTGTGCGTTTCCCACAGGGACACAGTCATGAGACTTCAGACCCAAACCAGAAACATATGTGGAGAGTTAGGGTTAGGGTTCCTCAAGCTTCTTTCTACAGTTGTCTTTTCCACTCCTTATCTCTCTCTTCAACTCCTGGGTTCTCCTCATTTCTTCCATCGCTCCTCACCCAAAAGCTCCTTTTGTGGTCTAGCAGAGTCCTCAGGTCCAGACTGAGTCATGGATCATTGCTAGAACAACACCGTATCACCTGGTGGGTACGGTGTAATACACGATGTAGCTATCAGACTTCTGGACAGATGTGGAGGTAAAACAGCCCACTGACTCTAACCCTGGCATCAAAAAGTAGGTTTAATGGGTTCATCAGTGAGTTTACACCTGGTTTCCAGATGAATTTTAATTAACCAGACCACTGGTCACTGACAGGTAGGGAGCAGGTGTCCATCATGAGCAGCCAGTGGGCTGAGGCACAATCTACGATTTCCACCTTTAAAAAGTCAGTGATGAAAGTGAATAACCTGCCTGTGGCTCTTTGATCCATCTGGGAGGCTCTCTGAGGCCTGACCAAGGCGTGCACACACACACACACACACACACACACACACACACACACACACACACACACACACACACACACCCTTTTCACAGCAGATGTAAAAAACTAAAGTAAATAAAACTCATATCTGATTCCTTCTCTAAAGAGGAGGCTAAAGGGATCTGAGGCTGGGCTTTAATGTGTTTCCTGGTAACTTTTCTCCACCTTTGCTGTATCCCCTTTAAACTCTATTTTTTTAACGGTTTGTGTTACAATAAATGAATTCGTGTAACACCAAAAACACCCACAGATTTCCCACACAAAGAGAACAGGTCTAATAATTAACTTTAGGAGATTTTTTTTATTAATGTGAAGTGGTTTCAAAGTGTTTAAATGCGAAAAGGCACAAACCAGAAGTCAACATTTTCATATTTACGAGAAAATAAACACCTGCTGTGCTGCCAGTTTCCCCATCTCCATAATGTGCTTATGGCAGGACCAGAGTTTGATTCATGTTGCCACATTTTGCCATCAAGTTTTTTTTTATAAATCACAAAGTTCGTGTAGGAAAAGACGAACGCAACCTTTGGACCCCATTTTGAAGTCAACGCTGAGGGATGGAGACACCTTCATGAAATGAGATCCTGAATTCCTACTAGTGCACTTGATATCATGAATATCCTTAAATGTACAATTTACAAGTTCGTATATTTCTTTTCAATTTTTATTCGTAAAAATATTATTTGGACAAGGATAAATTATATTATTGCTATGTAGAACAGGAGTTACAAATATGTGTTGTTGATTAAATGTAAAAAAAGGTTGCCATACAGGCTTGTTGTAGAAAAATACAGAGAATTGGTGGAACATTACCAAATGACCCCTTGTTCACTGGATTGTTCTAATATTACTGCTGAACCCCTTCAGTCACTAACGTAATCGGACCCAGGTGGAGTTTATTTGTCTGCGTGATGATGTCAGAGACGATGACGATAAGTTGGGGTGATGCAACTTTTTTTCTGCAAGTTCTAAAGACAGGCGGAGACATCGTCCTGAATTTCTCCTTTAGCAGCTTTGGGACTCTAAAACATTCCCATTCATGAGAATTCAAGCGCTTTCTGGGTGGAAACGGAGCAGTCCCAACGGTTGATGCCGCTGTTTCTGTTTCTGCTGCATGTATCCAATCCAGTAGGGCTGAACGATCTCTCGTTTTTGGACCGAAATAGCGATTTCAAACAGCACGATCACGTGGCCGTCAAAGCTGCGGTTTTAGTGGTTTTGACTGATCCAGGATCAGTTGTGTAACTTTTTTTTTTTACATCCAGTGTCGGTACAGGATCTGCTCGGGTGCAGGAACGGCTCGGGACCCTTCAACAGCCGATGACGTCAAAGTAGTTGATTGGCTGAACATGAAGCTTACGGAAGTGATGTTATCATGTTCTGATTTTGATTGGTCAGAACAAATTTGCGGTTGCAGTCTTAGCGGTTGTAGTCCTGTAGTCCAAAAATCAACACTTATTGGAGAAAATATGTTTGAATTTCTAAAGGAAATGTAAAATATAAGCAAATGATAAACGGTGACCCTCAAAAGCTCTTGATGTTGATGAAATGGGGCAAAATAAAATATAAGAACTTTATTGAAAGACACCAAGCAATATTTAGAGTCAAAGAATGTATTTAGATAACAGCTAAGGAAATATACAGACGAACTCCACATTAATACAAACAGATGTGGCTTCACACATAAGAACTGTTCTATTTTTTGTCAGTCCGATGTTGGTTTTAGGCAGTTTCACATTCTTTACAAAACAAAGATAAGATGGTGTTTTATTAACAAATTATAATCATAAAGAAAACATTTAGGTGTTAACAAACAAGAATTTATTAACAAAACTGCTGATGTCTTTCCAAAACGTGTGTGTGAAAGCCGAGTAGAGTTGCAGTCATGTGACGTCATCGGCAGTCGAAGGACCCCGAGCCGATCCTGTACCGACACCGGGATTTCCCCCGTGTTATGGCGGCGGCAAAAGCCAGCGCGGGGGAGGGGGGAGGGGTGTACCGTCCAGAACCGATAGTAATGCACCGTAGGTGAGCCCGGTACAGAGAGAGAGAGAACGTAGTTGAGTAGGGGAGGGAGAGAGAGAGAGAGAGAGAGAGAGAGAGAGAGAGAGAGAGAGAGAGAGACTCCTCCCACATCGGAGCAGGTTCTGGCTGATTTCTAAAGCTTGGTTTACACTTCATCAGCGTGAGTGCGGAGTCGCACACTTTAGTTGACTTGAAAGCTCAACTTCTGTTTTAAAATGGTTTGAATGTTTCTGACGGCACACGTTAGTCCAAACAAGCTAAGGTCTCAGAATGCGTGCGTCTCTCACGGAGCTGACGCTTTAGGGAGGAAAAACTAGACGTGCCGCGGTAAAGCAGGAAAACTGTGCATTTGTTATTTAATGCATTTAAAAGCTGTTTCTACCTACAGATTTCCCCCATGCATGTTTGGAGCAGAACGTGTTTTAAAAAGCTCTCTAGATAAAAATCACAAGTTGCTTCACAAACACATTAAAAATAAACAAAAAGATAATAATGGGAGAAAATTAATTTTAACTGTTTTTATTGTAAATATTAATGTGAATGATTTGCTGTACTAGATTAGAATCTAGACCATCTCTTCATTTAATCTACAGGATGGCTTGGCAGGCTAGTGTTGGACCTTTGTTTGCAGAAAAATTGACCCGAAATCGCAATTTCTGCTAGAAAAATTGCAATTCAATCGTTTCCTAAAATCGTTCAGCCCTACCATCCAGTTTCGCTTTCCTTGTTGTTCGGGTTGCGCTGTTGTCTTTTTATTATTTGCGATGTTGGAGAAGTCGTTTGGGTGGGTTAACTGCCACGGTTAACACTGCGGTTAAGTCAAACTGGTTAATCCCTGCAACCCTACTCACAAGGAATTAATTTATACTAGAGACCACTGCAATTGCTGAGCTTGGTCTTTAAACATGATTTATGCTCTGATGATGAAGACTAGGAGACTTTAGTCTTGGCTAACCAAGGATCCAGAGAAAGGCCTTACCTTAACGTGGGACTAATGGCAACAGACCACACTCTGTCAAACATGGCTATGGTCGCTCGAGGAGAGTAGGAAGATAACGTCCAAACCTAAAAAGCAGATTGTTATCAGTCACAATATTTCATAACCTATGAAAATAACAGCTGATTTAGAGAAAAGGTCCATATCTCAGGCTTTATTATCAGAATATGGGGGAAATGGTTTGGTTTGTTTTCTTATAGCTTTTTTATTTTTAACCAAACACTGATTATAAACGACCACATGACCAAATAGAGTGTGTTATTACCCGGGCCGTTCTGTCTCTGGAGCCACTGATGATGAGTCCATCCTTAGAGTCCAGACAGTTAACCTCCTGGCTGTGTCCCGACAACCTCAGAGACACGCCACCTCTCCTGCTGTGGACCAGGATGTTACCATCACTGACAAAAACAACGGAGAGATCGTTTCAGCTTCGTAGTTGTAACAAGTCAGGGGTAACAGCACAGCACTGGGGTGAGACCAACAACTGCGTCAACAGTATCTCACTGGGATGGCACTGCTGGTAACTAGCTGGAATGGGAAAATGGGAGATTCCCACCTTTGGGTGAGGGGAGAGGTTCGATCAAGAGTGGAGGAGCGTAGGAGTGAGGAAAGGAGGCGGATCGAGGGAAACCCAACTTTAGCCAACCCCTCTGTAATAGCATGTTTCTCCATGCGTGCATAGGTCTTCTCCGATATGTGTTACATGAAACATCTGATCATTTCTGTTGTGTACGACCAAAGAGACAAACTCAGGTGTGAGCTACCTTCCTGCGCTGATCAGGTGAGAGTCTGAGAGAACGAAACGGCAAACATCCCCCTGGTGGCCGGAGTAGATTTCAGATGGGCTTCGCCGAAGCTTCTTAGAGTCCCGGTCCAGATGATATCCTCGGATGTGAGCAGCCTGAGATATATACAGCACATCCATGTCCAGCTGTAGCCATGGCAACAGTCTAAAAGCAAGAGGCACTGGGATTACTCAAAGGAAAACTTCTTGGAAAGCTTCTGAGAGTACCCAGAATTCTTGTTTTTACACTTTTAATGGTGGCGGATTAGATCCTAAAAACGTTGAAGACTCACATACTTGGTTTTCCATTTGAGAGGAAGTGACCTTTTGCAGACTCCATTAAACCAGTTTTGAGCGATCCTCACCCTCTCCTTCAGAGGAATATCAGGATATCTGCAGCGACAACATGCAAGCATCACTTTGACTTCCGTAAGGAGTCGAGGATCTGCTTCTACTCGCAGCAATCCTAATATGATGGTTATCCTACAATGATCTAAATAATGAAAATGCAGTTTTTCAGGTTGTAAATGGATCTAATGAAGCCGGTGAACAGCAATGACATCAGAAGAGCAACAAGAAAAACTTATCATGTTTCACGTGTTTGGTGAAAGCCTGACTGGCCGCCTTCTTCCATGGATCATGTCTCCATGGGATGAGAAACACGGTTAAATGTGTGGGTAAAACCCTAAAAATGAGCCCAAGTCCCTTAGCTCTGGGCCTACTGTCTTGCATGTTTTCCAAGTCCCTGCTTCAGCACACCTGATTTACATTGCCTCCTCAGGAGGACATCAAGTGCTGCAGGTGCCTGTTAATCACTCACTCATTCGCCTAAGTCATGTGTGTGGCAGCAGGGAAACTGGTGTTTGAAAAGGCAACAAGAAAAACATGTAGTACAGAGCCTTGGAGCACCTGGGTTGTTGAACACTGCCTTAGCATCATTCTCCTGTTGGTAGTTTCAGAGTGAAAAGTAGAAGTCGTGATGAAGGCTGCGTTTCTGATGCTCAAAGAGAGATAACGCAGACTTGAAGCTGATTTAGGGTCAGGGATAGTCCCCCTGCTGCTGGATGCTTGTGTGCTTTTGCAACAGGAAGCAGCAGCTGAGACGGAGAAGCTGCTCTATCCAGACTGGTTTGGCTGGTAGAGTAGGTGCTGCTGATCCAAACAGAGCTACGGAGGTCCTGTAGGTGCTGTAGCATCATGTCCGTCTTAGCTTTGATGACAGAAATGTTTTCATACACGGGTATTACAAGTCCAACGTGTCACTTCTGTAGATTTTTCTACCAGGTAACTACAATGCTGCTGCTCAGACGATACTGGAGGTATCAAACATCTGACAATGGTATGCTGGCCAGAACTTCACAAGACTTCCATCACCTCAGCTACAAATGTCACCATGCTTTACTAGATGGGCCTGATCTGGTTACAGCCTCTAAAGCTCATATCTGTTTGACTCTGATTCCTCTTAGAAAACCAGAAACGAGTCATCATGCTATGATTAGTGATGTGACATTCACAAATGAATCAAATCTGTTGAACGACTCTTTACTGTGAATGATGAGAATGGACAATGGGTTCGGTGAATTTGGAAATATTTGCTGCCCAAGTTATTATGGGAAACAGAATATTTCAAGGGAACAGAATTTCTCACAACACCGGGTCCATGTAGAGAATCTTTCACTTTTTCTATCGATAATGCCCCCACCTACCCCACGGAGATCGCTTTGCTCCATCCAAAAGAGCCAGTCTTTTGAACGGCTCTTTGAGGTGAATGGCTGGCTCCCAAATGAACGGCTCAGAAGAGCTTCCACATCAGAGCTACAGCTTCACACAGGAAGTGACCCTAGCACATCAGCTGGTTCTGTTCCCCTTAGAAGGCCCAGAATCATTTTATACAAATATTTTGGTTAGATTTTCATGCCTGGCTTTGTTCTAGTGGGATTCAAATTGCCCCATTTACCTTAAATAGGATAATGTTTGGAGTGTTTTTGAAAGAAAAGAAAGTTAAATATGGTGTTAATGCGTTATTAATTTTGTGCAAACAATTTATACATAAATGTCGATTTTTTAAGACCAAACCAACACTAGCCTATTGGAAAAACGACTCAAAATTATTAGTTAAATCTTTGAATTTAGTTTAAAAGAAAAAAGGCTGATTTTTTATTTCCTTTGTAGAAGATTTTAAGTTAGTAAGTTAATAATCTGTTAATTATGTGACTCCATCTTTAGATTTTCTTTTTTTTCATATACGTGAAAATGTTTAATATGTAAGCAATGATTATCTTTTGAATATATAATGTAAGGTGCATTTTGTTTGTATATCTTCTCTAATTAAAAAAAAGGCCCAGAATCATCACGAACTCTAGCTCAGCAGACCCAGCTGCTCTGATGTCTGAAAAACTTTTCATCCTTTGGATTTTTAAAATAAAAACACAGAAAACAAAACTTATTCTCACCAGTAAACAAACAGCATTGGTAAATAACTTCCGGTCAAAAATTAAGACATTATAAACTTCCTGGTTTTTATTCTGCTGTTATACTGAGTTTATTATAATGAGCACTGAGGTGAGTTCTGTGCCTGCAGACAAAACTCAGGCAAACTGTCTGTCACGTGATCAACGAGCGTCAGCTGTTTTGTCTTACATGTCCGTCCCGTTCCGCGTAATTCCGGTGTTTAAACATTCTTTAGCTAACTTCTTCCACACCGCGTCTCGGTTTACAAAGCCATGGAGACTCTTGCTGACTTGAGAAAGGCGACCGAGGTCTTTAGCGCCCAAATACAGCAGAACCTGGTAAAGGACGTCCTCCGGGAGCTGCGTCAGCAGCATGGTGCCGGTTCCGCTCGGTGCGGGAGTCCCGGTGCTGGTTTGGCTCGCGGCGGGAGAGTGTAAATAGCGGTAATAACCGGAATAAACAACGATCCATGCTTTAGAGCAACAGGATGCAAATATTGGAAGAGTCTACTGCTGATGACGTCAAAATTAAGCGTCGTTACTTCTGAACCTGTTGCGTGTGACGTAGTTTCCCGGATGCTTTTCAAAAAATGTATTTTATTTTAATTAACACTACTTCTTTATTGAAGTCTTCAGCTAGAAAAAGTTTTACTTGATGTTGTTCAATTTTTTTTACAGAATTTGTTTCCGATTTCTCTGATTTTAAAAGCCAGCAACTGAAGCCAAATATTTTCTAAATCCTTTACCTAATAAATGTAAAAATAAAACCAGAGTTAAGTTAATAGCATACAACGTTCTTATGGAAACTGTTACACCCACAAACGGCTGCTTTTTATGTCATTCAACACATGTTCTTTATTTATTTGGTAGAAAATCCTCCTGGTATTTATTTCTTCTGTTGTTTATTCATTAATATTGTTACAATTTTCAGACGTTTCTATAAAGTTTAGAGAGAAATACAATATGTCGTGTTAGAAAAATATAAAAAACCCAACCCATCATCATCAACAATAATCATATCAATAATAATAAAGTAACAACAAACATAAAATAATAATGTCACCAGCATATATGAAATGTTTCTTTTGTTGCTTTTTTTTAATACTTGAGCTTTTTAATTGTCTGCTTTATTACAAAAAAATAACCCTCAGTACAAGATGGAAATAAGTTGTTTTCTTGCTGGAATATTAGTAAATAATAAACTACATGCTGCATTTGGATTCTTTATTTATTTTCTTTAGACAATTCAAACAATTTAAAATCAATACAAAATGAAAATAACGAATTTAGAGAATTAGGAGAATTTAAAGAGTCCTCTTTGATCCATAAAGTGGAATAGAGAGAAGCTCAAAGCTTTTTCTTTCCCTATCCCTCAGCATTTTGTCCCCCATTTTCAAAGATGGACAGTGGGTTATTAATAAGCGATATGAGTGACCATCTACCGGTTTTTGCGTCTTATGACTGTCATTATAAAAAGGAAATGGAAGAAACTAACTATATGTATAAAAGAATGAAAACAGAACAGAGGTTAAATAGTCTTAAAAATGATCTATTAGAACAAGATTGGAATATTGTTTATGAAAAAAATGAAGTAGACCAAGCATATGATACCTTTTTAAACATATTTAAAAGTCAATTTGACAGAAACTGTCCAGTAATCAAACTTATTCAGAGGAATAAGTATAAAAGAAAACCGTGGATGACCAAAGGTCTACAAAATGCATGCAATAAGAAAAACACACTTTACCGAGAATTCATAAAATCCAGAACTACAGAAGCAGAAAAAAAGTACAAAAGATATAAAAACAAACTCATAAATATAGTGAGAAGCTGTAAACGTGAATATTTTATTAAAATACTAGAGCACAATAGAAACAACATAAAAGGCATCTGGAAAGTATTAAAAGGTGTAATTAGGAAAGAGACAGGGAATAATAACTATCCACAACATTTTATAGAGAGAAAAAATAATATTACAAACATGACTGAAGCAGTGGATGAATTCAACAAATATTTTGTAAGCATAGGATCTAAATTGGAGGAAAAAATAGTAGTTGATGACGTACAAATGGATGCCACAGAGTATGTTGAAAGAAATAAAAATTCTGTTTTTTTTTAAGAGCAGTTGATGAGAAGGAGATTTATGATATAGTTAGAGATATGAAGAATAAAACCAGTACAGACTGGAACTATATTGACATGAAAACACTGAAGTGTGTGATTGAGGGCATTGTAAAACCATTAACACACATTTGTAATCTTTCTTTTCAAAAGGGTTTTTTCCTGAATAACATGAAGGTAGCAAGGGTAATTCCTATTCACAAGACAGGAGATAAACATCAATTTACAAATTATAGACCTGTGTCAATACTATCACAATTTTCCAAAATATTAGAAAAGCTTTTTGTTAACAGATTCGATAATTTCGTTGATCAATCACAGTTGCTGACAGAATGCCAGCATGGCTTCAGGAGTAATAGGTCAACAGTCCAGGCACTGATTGATCTTATTGAGGAAATAACAGAATGCATTGACAAAAAAAAAAACATGCAATAGGGTTGTTTTTAGATCCGAAGAAAGCTTTCGATACAGTAAACCATGACGTATTGATGAGGAAAATGGAAAAATATGGTTTCAGGTGCATAGTATTAGAATGGATAAAAAGTTATTTATCAAATAGACAACAATATGTGCAAATAAATCAACATAAATCAGGACTAAGAGAGATACAATGTGGGGTACCTCAAGGATCAGTTTTAGGACCTAACCTATTCATAATTTACATAAATGACATTTGTAGGGTTTCACAAGTATTGAAGTTTGTATTGTTTGCAGATGACACAAATGTTTTTTGCTTGGGTGTGGAATTGCAACAGGTCCTGGATGTGGTCAAACAGGAAATAAATAAATTAAAAAAATGGTTTGATGTAAATAAACTGTCACTAAATTTGGAGAAAACTAAATTTATGTTGTTTGGAAATGAAAGCAGATACAATGAATTGAATATTGTAATTAATACTGTAAACATTGAAAGGGTATATGAAATAAAATTTCTTGGGGTGGTCATAGACAGCAGAATCTGTTGGAAGCCACACATCAAATATGTTAGGGGGACGCTTGCACGGGGCATTTCTATATTGGGGAAAGCTAAGTATATTTTTAATCAAAAAGCACTTTATATATTATACAATACGATGCTACTGCAATATTTGAGTTATTGTGTAGAGGTCTGGGGAAATACGTACAAAAGTAATTTACAAACAATAACGACAATGCAGAAAAGGGCTATCAGATTAATAACAAATGCAGGATATTTGGATCACACAAATGAACTTTTTATTAAAATGCGGACAATGAAGTTCCAGGACTTGGTTAAATACAAAACAGCACAAATAATGTATAAAGTAAGAAATAAATTAATGCCTGATAAAATACAGAAACTGTTCATAGAGAGAGAAGGAGGACATAACCTGAGAGGGTCACTAATATACATAAGTTTAGAACAACATTAAAACAGATGTGTATCACAATAATAGGGGTTAAATTATGGAATAATTTAGAAAAAGAAATCAAAGTACAAATATAAATGTGTTTAAAATGAATTATAAAAAACATATTCTAAAGAAGTATGGAGTGGAGGATAGATGATTTATGTGGTTGTCATTTATTCTAAGGAAAATTAAATATGAGCATCAATTGTAAAAAGATGTGTTTTTTCCCACATGGTGTGGGTGTCCATATGTTTGGAAACAGTCCGTCCCCAGCGATCGCAATTTATGGACTCAGAAGAGCAGTACAGGAGTTAGAGCCATTCTATGGCAGCAAAACAGCCAGACTTGTGGAGCGACATATCTACATGGATGATGCTCTGCTGTCATTCACGTCTGAAATAGAAGCTATTGAAACAAACAGCTCTAAGAAATGTTAGCTATTGGTAATCTACGTTTGCATAAAATCGCATCTAACAGCGTGAGTGTACTCCCAGTGGAAGACAGAGCTAAGGACATTAAAGACTTGAACTTATTTTCAGATGAGCTACCTGTACAACGTGGTCTAGGGTTCATTTGTAACATCATGACTGACACTTTCACTTTCAAGGTTCCCAAGAAACCAAAACCCTTCACGAGACGTGGTGTGTTGTCCACAGTGAGCAGTTTGTACAATTCCTTGGGCTTTTTAGCTCCAGTCACTGAGATCAGAGTAGACATGTGACCAGTGTGGTCCCAAAGGTTCCAAAGCCAACGTCTTTCTCAGTTTGTTTTAAGGACTTTTCCAGTTGGAGATCTCTTCAGAAAGCATTTGCGAGACTCATACATATTGCTCGAAACTTCTCTAACAAAAGCTGCCAGGGCTGTGTTGGCTGGCACTACTGTAATAATATCTCCCCATCGAAGATGGGCAGTGCAGAGCATTTGATTATTCGCACAGTGCAAAAGGAATGTTACCATCAGGAAGTGGTAGCCATGAAGGAGAATGAAAGTCTGGCAAAGAACAGCAACATTCTCAAACTCAATCCGTTCTTGGACAGTGAGAGCATACTAAGAGTTGGAGGCTGTCTATGTCAGTCTCAGCTCCAGAACAATGAAACAAACCCTGTTATAATTCCCAATAAACATCATGTGGCAACTCTGCTTGTGAGCTATCATCATCAGAAGGTGCGACATCAGGGAAGACATTTAACAGAAGGAGTCATACGCGCAAGCGGCTGGTGGCTTGTTGGAGGCAAACGACTGATGTGTTCACTGTAGGAAGCTACGTGGATCGTGTGAACAGCAACTAATGTCCAGTTTACCTGAAGAAAGGCTCAAAATGGATACCCCGTTCTCATAAATGGGCTTGGATGTCTTTAGTCCCTGGGAAGTCATGGCAAGGCGCGCACGAGGTGGTCAAGCACACAACAAGAGATGAGCTGTGTTGTTCACTTGTACGCCTACTCGAGCCATTCACATTGAGGTGGTGGAGACCATGAGCACTTCCAGCTTCATTAATGCTCTCTAGAGATTCTTTTCCGTCCGTGGATCTGCAAAACAACTAAGGTCTGACAGAGGGACCAACTTTGTTGGCGCCTGTGGCGAGCTGAAGCTGTCACCAAAAGATACTGATCCAACAATCAAGGATTATCTAACTGAACAGAAGTGTACCTGGGTGTTTTACCCACCCCATGCCTCTCACATGGGTGGCCCATGGGAGCGCATGATTGGAGCTTCTCGTCGTATTTTAGATGCCTTACTCCAAGATGGGAAGCACTGCCAACTCACTCACGAAGTCTTAGTTACTTTGATGGCTGAAGTCACTGCTATAGTCAATGCCAGACCCTTTGTACCGGTCTCCACTGACCCAGAAGCTCATTTGGTCTTAACGCCAGCTATGCTTCTGACGCAGAAGACAGGGACGCCCCCTTCTGTTCCGGACGACCTTTTGGACAAAGACATTTTTAAGAGTCAGTGGAAGAGAGTGCAAGTATTGGCTAACAACTTTTGGTCAAGATGGCAAAAAGAGTACCTTTGCACTTTACAAGCCCGGCAAAAGTGG